GCTTATGTATCAAAAAAATTCTCGGGGACTCAGCGTAATTGGCCGCAGCTATAAAACTGGCATTAAGAACCTGACGGCAGTGGTTAGAGGGGGCCCGGGTGCCATTTGAAGTTTGGACTGCTTATAAAAACCTTGAAGCTCTGCGAGTCCCCTGGTGCCTTAACACCAAACAGTTGAGGTGGGCGGAGTTCTTTTCTAAGTTTCATTTCACCCTGAAACACCTCCCTGGCAAATCGAACTTCCTGGCCTATGCCTTGTCCTACCTCCCTCAATGTGCAAGTCAATGGGAGGAGGTAGTGGACACCATGTTCAGTGCTGACACAGGCAAAGGAGGGAGCTCCACAAACGACTGATTTTTTTGGGGATAAAGTAAGATCTGCCCTAACTGAAGAAGATAAGCAGGACGTTGAAAAGGAGGGAATTCTAGTGGAAAAGAGGGGTGGTTATTACCGCCAACACAAGCTATTCATCCCTAGATCCCTCCAGGGGGAGATTCTGTCCATGGAGCATGATAGCAAAATGGCTGGGCATTTTGGATATTTAAAGACTCTAAACCTCATCCAGAGACAATTCTGGTGGCCCCAAATGGGAAAGGATATCTTCCATTATGTGGCCTCATCCCAGACATGTTTAATGGCCAAGCAGAGAGTTGGGAAGGGTTCATGGTTTGCTTCAGCCCCTGGAACCTCTGAACAGCCATGGTCTGTTATTTCCATGGATTTTATAATGGGCCTACTTCCTAGCTAAGGGGAAATGGTGATTTGGGGGGGGGGGGGTGGACTTATTTTCAAAGCAGGTGCACTTCATCCCATGTAAACAATTGCCCACGGCCCAGAAGCTGGCCCAGATTTTCCTACAGCACATAATAAAACTATATGCTCTATCCCACAAAATAATATTGGATTGGGGGGCTCAGTTTGTAGCAGGATTCTGTAAGAAGCTGTTTAAACTGCTGGGGGTAGAGATGGGGCTCAGTAGCACCTACCACCCAGAGATGGATGGGCAAACCGAACGGACCAATCAAGTGTTGGAGCAATACCTCCAGTGCTTCATAAACTTTCAGCAAGACAGTTGGGTGGACTTGCTCCCATTTGCTGTCTATAGTTACAACAATTTGGTACACAGCTCCATTGGCATGTCCCCCTTCAAAGCTGTGCACGGATATGAAGGGGCCCCCTCCCAACTTTGGGTCCAAGGGAGGCTAGCTCTGGGGACGCTCAAATGTGGTGGGGAAAAGGAACTCAGGGGTGGGCCAACCTCTGGGAAACCCTGGTAAAAGCCAAAAAGGACAATAAACGCCAAGCTGATAAGGAGAGGGGGCTAGAGTGGGATCTTAAGGCTGGGACTTGGTGTATATTTCCAGAAAGAAACTTTGGGGTTTGCAACCAGGAAAGAAACTGGGGTGGAAATATTTGGGTCCCTTCAGGATTAATAAAGTGACTAAAAGCCTGTGTCACATACATCCTGTTTTCCATTTCAGTCTACTGAAGAAGGATCCTTCGACTTGGAGACCTCATCCTGCAGTTCCCCCTTCCCTGAACGTTGGGGGGGAACCCCGCCAAGAAGTGGAGGAAGTTCTCGATTCTAAACTAAAGCGGGGCTGGTTGCACTACTTCATCAAGTGGAAGGACTTTGATCCCAGCCATAATGAATGGGTGCTAGAAAAGCATGTTAATGCACCCAAACTGGTGAAAGCGGTTCATCAAAGATACCCCCTCAAACCTAGGGGGTGAGGGCTTTGGGGGGGCAGAATGTCAAACTGCTGTTGCGTTTGCCATAAGGTTGGGGAATTCCTGAGGAGGGGGGAGTGTGAGTGCATGCGTGAAAATAGCTTTATTGTAGGGCAATGCACCTCTGTAACATTTATAACAGTGCCTCCCTGTTCCCAAGGATGACAGCCAGATGGCCTTGGTGGATGTCTGTGCTTACAGCTTTAGCTCAGATAACAAACGGATGATTTACGGATGGGAGGGTTAGGTGCTCACTTGTTAGGTGGGAATGTATGAACTGTGGTTGAACTGTGTTGCTTTTTAACCCTATATGGGGGGGGGGGGTTTCGCACCAGAATTTTAGTTCTGACTCAACCATGTCTCAGCTTTGATCATCTTTACTCTTCAATAAACAAATCACCTTCAGTGAGTGTGGTTGAGAGTCATTTTGTCCAAGAATCTGACACATGTTGGCACTGGCATCCGTGACAATGTTGCCATGGATGATGTTACCAAGGGCACCTGCTTCCGCAGGCTAGCACAGATTGTGGCAGCGATATTCTTCCCTATGTGGTCTGCATCCATTGCCTCTTTGTAGCATGGTGGCAGGACTGGCCCCTCCTCCCAGGACCCTGGACATGCCCTGGCAGTCTGGAGATCCCCCGGTTGCTACCAGTGGGCAGTGAGGGATAGGTATCCATGCTCTTGGCTGCTCCACAGATCTGCCGTGAAGTGCACAGTCTGCCCTCATGCTCAGGACAATTGGGCCTTGACCATCTTCATCTCAGAGAAATGCAAGAAGGGCACAACTCGCCAGGCAAGGGTCCTCTGCAAAGAGATGGGAGTACCATGGGGTGACATGGTGCAGCAGCCGGTGAAAGCCCACTTGTTCGATGACAGACAAAGGTTGTCTATCCAGGGCTACCATCTTAACAATGAGGTGAGTAGTCACTTCCTGGGCCTTCCCCCAGCCCTTCTGTTTGCCAGTGTCCCTGTGGGAACGTTCTCCTGGAGGGTGGCCTGACTGGAGGTTCCATTCCCACCCACAGCACCCTCAGTGTGAGTCTTTTTCCTTCTTGCCCCCTCCCTTCTCAACACTGAGTAAGCTACTTCTTCCCCATGTTGGGTGCCACTTGTTGCTCCGGAGACGACAGAATTGGGTGGTGCCTGTACAGGGCAGTAGATGACAAGTGTTTGGGGTCTGAGCCCCTCCGCACCTGGTGATCACAGATACGGCACTGTACCACACAGGGGTTGTTGGGAAGGGTTTTGAAGTGGTCCCAGAGTGTGGGATGGATACAGGGATCTAAAAGTGGGGCAGGTAGGAGGCTTAGGTACTGTAGTGTGGTGCTGGGCTGGGAGGACTCATGGAAGGGTGGACTGGAGGCGGGAGTAGCCCCAGGGAGTTTGGATGTGGAGGAGCTGGATGTTCCCCCCCCTCAAAAAAAAAATCATCACCACCCTCAGATTTCTCCTCCTTCCCAAAGAGTGTTGGCAACTGCTCTGGTTTGGACAGTGCTAGCAGCTGTTCTGCCTCTGACTCCATCCCCAACAGCGAGTCAGGCAAAAGAGGTTGTGCCTCCGATACCCCTGGTGATATCCTACTACTGCTGGGCTCTGGTGGGCTGGCAGAACGGGCTTGTCCCTCAGGGACAGGCTCCTGTGGGATGGGGGTGGACTTTTTCCCACAATGAGCACCCTTGGCTCTCACACTCTCCCTCATGGCTAAGAGGGGCATTAACAACAATTAGGCATGAGAGTGGGTCCTCAGCTGAGGAACCCACTGGCTTTGCCCCTCTGCCTGACTGTGGCAGAGGAACAGAGGGTGGGTCAGATCCGTGAACCACTAGACACCTCTCCAGCTGGGGCAGGTGTTTAAAAAATCCCACTTTTGGGGGAAACCCAGTAGCTTTGCCCCTCTGCAGGGGAACAGGTGTTTCAGAGCCCTCATGCACCAACACTGTTTCTTCATGGACTTTTATTTCCATCTCTCTCCAACACTTCTTCTCTGTCTGCCACATGCTGTAAAGTGAAAGCAGCTCCACAAGCTGGGTGGGTGTATATATATATATATATATCCCTTCTGCTCTCATAGAGGAGAAAAGGAGCTCTCTGGTTGGCAGCCAGAGCTGCCTTAAGAAGCTTTGGAGGGCTAGGATTGGTGCTTCCAGGGCACTTCCCTGTTGCCTTGACAATTGATTAATGGGCACCAGTGTGTCTAGCCCATGAACCACTCCTACGAACCCCACGAACCTCCACAAAAAATGGTTTGGATTATGGGCAAACCAAATGCAGGAACCAAGGTTCACAAACCACAAATCAGGCTCAGTTTGTGACGATCTTTGGTTTGTAATTTGGTTCATGCCCATCCATAGTTGTGGTGGAGAAACAAAAGTTCAACTTGTTTAGAGACCTGCATTTGAATGGCACAGCTAACTGAAGCTTGATTCAAGACTTCCCAAACTTTGCTACCTCTGAGGCATGTCAGGATGACAACAAGCTGCTTTTGGACCAATCTGGGACAAACCTCTGTTATGACACCTGGATGTGGCCATTATTAGGACTCTTATTTTTGTTTCCTAAATGAAGACAAGTTTTATGGCTCTAAAGACATTCAAGTTGCCCTCTTAAATTTCTCAGAATGCATTTATATATATTTATCCTTAAAAAAGATACTATAGCATTGGAAAAAGTATAGAAAAGGGCAACTAAAATGATTAAGGGGATGGAACACTTTCCCTGTGAAGAAAAGTTAAAGAGGTTAGGGTTCTTTAACTTGGAGAAATGACAACTGGGGAGGGGGGCATGATAGAGGTTTACAGAATTATGCATGGGATAGAGAAGGTAGAGAAAGAAGTACTTTTCTCCCTTTCTCACAATACAAGAAATTGTGGGCACTCAATGAAATTAATGAGCAGCAGGTTTAGAAGGATAAAAGGAAGTACTTCTTCATCCAAAGAGTAATGAACATGTGGAATTTGCTGCCACAGGAAGTTGTAGCAGCTACAAGCACAGACAGCTTCAAGAGGTGATTAGATAAACATATGAAGCAGAGGTCTATCAGTGGTGATTAGCCACAAGGTATAGATGGAATACTATGTCTGGGGCAGTGATGCTCTGTATTCTTGGTGCTTGGGGAGCAACAGTGGGAGAGCTTCTGGAATTCTGGCCCTGCTAATGGACCTCCTGATGGCACCTGGCTTTTGGCCACTGTGTGACACAGAGTGTTGGACTGGATGGGCCATAGGCCTGATCCAACATGGCTTCTCTTATTTTCTTATTTTCACTCACCAGCTGCAGCTGGTAGAGCTGGTTCAACATCGTCATATGCTGAGGATTAATTGGCGAGGTTAATAGTGCAGGATTGAGTCCAATGTTTTTTGCTGCAAACTGCAAAAGCTGTGCTTGAACCTGGAGAAAAGAACACAAGAACTTTCAGTTCTGCAGCTGTAATTATGTACTCTCAGTTTAAGCAAAACTGAAGTAAGGACTTGTAGACTGCATACTGCGTTAATTAGAAATCATGCACAGAATGTGAAAGAAGAAGTGGAAAGGTACATAACTGCAGCAAAACTAAAACACATTTCCAGAACTGATCATAACTTGAACATATGTGCTTTCTCAGAATATACAGGAACACAGAAAATACTATTTTTCTGAAATCATATATACTGGTATGAGAGTTTAAATTCTCAGTGATATTTGGCAACACACTGTACCTTCCAAAAGATATATTCCAGAAGTATGGCTATGTTTATATATAATTTTTGAGATGGCAAGATCAGCCATCACTTGATGTAGTCAACTTTTTAAATCAAGGGGCTTCTTCCCCTGCTTAAAAGTGTTATGTGCAATAAACATTAGTTGTCACACAGAAATTGCTGTCACCAGCAGCACAAACATTCTTGGAACGTTAGTTGTTGTAGATTTTCTGGGCTGCATGGCCATGGTCTTGGCATTGTGGGACCTGACGTTTCGCCAGCAGCTGTGACTGGCATCCTCAGAGGTATAAGACAGAAAGATGGAGTACTCTCTGTGTCAAAGCGAGAAGAAAAATGGTAGGCAGGTAATTTATAGTTACTCAGGAAGCTGGGGTAGGGCTGAGTCATTATCTAGTAGGAGTTCCCCAGGCTGTGACATGCTAATAGAGGAGCTTTCCTGAAGAGGTTCTTTTGCATATGGATTGGCTGTTGAAATTCTAATCTTATCTGTAGTGCTATTGTAAGATGTAGAGCATTTTGTGTTTTTCAGGACAGGAAACCATACCCTATTTATTTTTAAACTCTCTTCTTTCCTGATTAAATTATTTATTAAAAATAAATACAGACTATCTTGAATATCACCATACCTTTTAAGCCAGAGGGTTTTTTTTTTGTTAAACTGTATACCAGATGAGTTAGATAAGAATCATAGATATTTCATTTTATATGTTAAAACAGCTGCCAGAATTTTATTTGCAATGGCATGGATGACATTGAAGATTCCAACACTGCATGAGTTGATACTGAAGATTATGAAATGTGCTGAAATGGACAAGTTGTCAAATATATTAAAAAGAAAAATGGAAGAAGATTTTATGGGAGCTTGGAGGGCATTTTATGACTGGCTAAAACTTAAGTATTGAGAAAATAAGATTAAGCCAAGAATAATAATGATAGACAAAGTAGTTGTGAAATTGTAATGAGAAGATATGCATGCAGAATTCTAAACTGGAATTTTTAATATTTCTGTACTTTTCTTTCTACCTCCCTTTCCCCCTTTCTGTATATAAATTAATAAAAATGTGCACAAAAAAGATGACTCAGCCCTACCCCACCTTCCTGAGTAGATATAAATTACCTGCCTACCAGTTTTCTTCTCACTTTGACACAGAGAGTACTCCATCGTTCTGTGTTATACCTCTGAGGATGCCAGTCACAGCTGCTGGCGAAACATCAGGTACCACAATGCTAAGACCACAGCCTTACAGCCTGGAAAATCTACAACTAATGAACTCCAGCTGTGAAAGCCTTCGACAACGTTCTTGGAACAGTTGAGATTTTCTAGGAGCCTGAAATGAGGAGAAATGGGCTTCCCAGCCATCTCCATAATCCAACTGCTGGTCACTTGGCCTGTTTTTACTTGCAACTGGCTGGGGCATTTGGATTTTTGCACCCCTGCTTATTATTACTTCAACAAAGCTTAGTCTAACCTGAGGGGAGAGAAACTGAGGCACTTGAGCACGAAGACTAGGCTGGGATGAGTTAAGAGGTTGCACTGGCGGTTGCTGCGGCTGTTGCATGGTCCTGGCTTGTGCTGCTCCGCTATTGCCAAACATACCCAGATTGCCACTCGGTATCTGTGTGATGGCAAAGTTAGAGAATACAGTTTCTGTCACTATGGCTGCATTGCCCTCTGGCCCATAGCTCAAGACATCAGCAAATAAACAATCTCTTACTCAGAGTAGCAGTTGTTTCTGTTGACACTGCAGTGAAGATTTAATTTGAAGCCTGGCAAACTGAAACAGCAGTAGCTACATGTTTATACACTAGTTCTGCACAGATATATCAATAAATCCAAAAGGTTAAATCTCTGTTATTGCGCATTCAACCAGCCATGTGGACAGCTGCTCATAATGCAACTGTGTGAGCCACAATTTGGTAATTTGTGTGTGCTGGTTCCCCAAAGGAATCACTTTCAAACACAGTATCACAAATCTCCCTCTTAAAAGGTTAGCAGGAATGATGTTGAAATTGCTGGGATGAGGGAGCAGCTACACAAACTGCTTTCCAAATAACTTTATATACATTATTGGCTACATTGCCAACTGGCCATCCTTACAGATGGCAGCGTGTTCAAGTGTGTCTAAATTTATGTCTAAAATTAGACAATCCTACAGGCATAGACTGAGTTTACTGTCAAATATGTATTTGAGATCTGCAGCTCCTCCCTCCTCTTCTCAAGTATGACCAGAAAACTGATGACGTTTTGTTTGTTCTAAGCACAATTCAGAGAACATTTGATGCAACTATCAACTGGACTCAAGAGTCTACTATATAAACTTGATCTCTAGAATCTCTATGCTAAAAAACAGCTGTGCCTTGGATCTCAATTACTCCAATTTTCTGGAAGACTAATGATGTGGTACACAGTGTTCACATGACTGGTATTATGCTCAAAGCACTGGAACATGTGAAGCATTCTATATTCCTCCAATACTGGGTACTGACTGTCACCCAGAGAATGAGAACCAAATGTGGTACTTTGACAATGAAAAAACGAGAACAAACTTAGTCCCATCTATTACCCAGTCACAAGGATCAAAACTAGGGGTGTGCATTTAAACCTAACAGCTGACAGGCGGACCCATTGGGCTATCAGGTTTAAATGGTTGGCAGACATTTCAGGGGCTGGTTTTGTTCCCCCCTTTTCCAAGTGGGGGGAGTGAACAGGTTGCTTGCAGACATTTTAACATAAAAGTAGATGGCACACCTGCCCCGTTAGGCTAAAAGGGCTGCAAGCCATTTCAGTGAACCCTGAAAAATACTGGGGTTGAGCGGTGGCTCAAGTGGTTAAGACACTGAACTGCAGGCTGTGGAAGGTCAGTAGTTCAGCGGTTCAAGACCCGGGTGCCGCAAGACAGGGTGAGCTCCTGTCTCTAGTTCCAGCTCCTGCCAACCTAGCAGTTCGAAAGCAAGAAATTGCAAGTAGATAAATAGGGACCACTTCGGTGGGAAGGTAACAGCGTTCCGTGCACCTTGGTGTTTAGTCATGCCGGCCACATGACCACGGAAACGTCTTCGGACAGCGCTGGCTCTTCGGCTTGGAAACGGAGATGAGCACCGCAACCCTAGAGTCGGATTCGACTGGCTTTCGAGCAAGGGAACCTTTACCTTTACCTAATCAAAACAGTTTGTGGGGGGAAAACCTTTAAACAGTGGTTCTCAACTGTTTAAAGCAAGATTATGTTTCAACTTACTGTACTTTTCAGAATCCATGTACAAAGTAACTCCTCACTACTTCCCCGCTTCCCATCATAAAATATAGGAATATCACATCAGTTAACACTGAACATCTTTACATTCTGTTTATCATGCTTAACGTTTACAAAGTATTACCGAGCAACGGTCTGTATTTCATGGCCATTCTGCACATTATGCAGAGGAAAACCCAAATTTGTTGTCAAAACTCCCAGAGCCTCATATGCCAACTCACTCTGTTCTTCCCTCTTCCCTCCTGGCCTTGCAACCCTTCCATGAGAGAGTTCCAACCCCTTTTGGTGTCCTAATCTTCAACTTGAGAAGACACTGCCTTAAATTATCACCTGCTGAGCAGAGCAGGAGAACAAAATTCAAACCTAGATGTGTAGCCTAGATGTGAGGATAAGGAGGAGAGCCAATGATCAACAAGGGTTCTGGAGGAATTGTGAGGAAGAGACAGCAGAAGCAAGTTCTACAGCTAAAGAACTTGGGTCAATGTGGCATTCAGTACTGTGTTTTAAAAAGGCACAGGGGACAAGTTGATTTTTGAATTCACAATCGTCTAGCTACATATGAAGATTTAAATGAAAAATAAGTCCACAAACATTTCCTTGACGAGCAAGTTTGAGAATGCTGATATTCAGGCACTGTCACTCAAAGTTGCCTTACCTGTCTAGAAGAATTCAAGTTTTGCATGCCCAGCCCTGAGGCAATCCCACCCAGGGTCTGATTAGGGAGTGCACTGTTTGAAAGGGGGAGCTTCAGGCTTGGTGAAGGCAAAAATGGTGAAGTAGTGGGCTCTTCCACTAGGCCGCCATCCTGATTGAAAAAAGAAAGGGTGAGCTATGTGCAGTGTCCAAATACAGACAGTGCACAAAACAGTGTCCCATGGAAATATAAGTGGAACGTGGATGAATAAAAGATCAAAATATTATTTAAAAAGGCATGAGAAATACATAAAAGTATGAAGTGGAAGGAAGAAGAAAAAGAGAAACAAAATTAACGTACTGTTTGTCTTTGCTTTGTACTTTGCATTTTGTAAATGTACAACTAAATGATCATTCTCAAATATGAAAAACAGCACAACCAAGGTGGGGTGCTTATTTTCCATTTTTAAAAATAAGAAGCCTATATGGTAATCATTTGGCTCAGTAGGAATGGGACAAACAACCCACAAGACAATGTGTTGTCCAGACATTACTTCCATACTCAATTTGCTCCTTCACTTTTATATCAGACTACAATATGAAAAACTAAAGGAACATATAATGCTTCTGTAAACCTTAGGCCTGGCCGCATTTTGGGAGCAAACCATGAAGCAACTGAGCACAAATTTACAGTCAGGAAAGTTGCAAACTGCAAGAGACCCTATGATTTTTTCTGGCACCACATGTTTTCAATAATCTCTGTTTCAGGACAGGCACACATCAGTTGTTCAGAAAATGCATTAGTCTTCTGTGCCATCTTCTGTCGTGCCACAAGAGATTGCTTTTGATTTAATGGCAACAGATTAACATAGCTACACAAATGGAATTTATTGAAGAAAAGAGGGAGGGCGAAAAGGGGGATATTAGGTAGACTGACACACATGCTGGGTGCTCTAGATTACACGCCTTGTTTTTGAACAAATGAGAATTCAAGAGAATTCTGTATATGTAACTATGGTTCCATGCATGTCCTCCTATATGCATTTAAGATATGCTGATGTATGTATTTCTAAATGTGAATGTAGGTGGCCTTAAAATTGATGCCTATTCTGTAGGGCATACTTCCCAAGTTTCTATCATTCCCAGTCACAGAGGGCTCCAATAATATGAAGCAATGACTTCCCATCTGCTCAAGAGATAACTCTCAGAGCAGCAACTTGGCCTTGAAAGGATTGTGGAGGAGGTCTCATCTACTTTTTTTTTTAAAAAATGTACAATTTCCTTTTTGAGAATGCTGCAATCTATTCCACTTTTTAAAATAATAAAAAATACAAAGTTAATGTCTCTGAAGTTTTGTGTAGGATCAACACAATATGTGCTCTGGAGAAAACCATAAAAATATGGTCTACTAATGTTACATTTAGTATATCAGGAAGATTCACAATCAGTAAAAGGAACATCATCTCCACCACCACTGGCCTAATATTATGAAGCTGGGAACTGAACAATGGCTTTGGCCCTTGCAGAGGAGAATTATTCCTGATGAATAAATGCCCCCTTTCACGAGTAAATATTCCACAAGTAAACCCCTGAAGTCATGTGGGAAAAATCCTAAATTTGCTGTATACTTTGCATGTAATAGTAGCTCTAAAAATGCACATTCTTTGTTAAATAGCTAAAAAATATTCACTTTACAACTAATTTGCATTATCTTCCTATCCATTCACTCATAATATTAACAACTATTAGGGAACAGCTCACATCCATAAAAGGGGTTAAGTATTGTTCCATGGCAATCAAACCTAGAAGTCCTAAATAACCCATGTTCACAGGAATTTCTTGTGGCTCCCTACAGAGGCAAAGGAAAACTTTCTTTTCTTCAACCAAAGTGATACTTGGTTTAGTTCTGCAAAGTCCTGAAGGGATACTGACATTTTCTAATCATATCCCCAAGGTCTTTCAGCTCAACGTGTTTAACATTCTGCAAGAATATCTGTCATGCTCCACAAACAGCAGCTTGCATGACAGTAACAGGTTCAAGGATTTCTTCTCCCAAGGTCACAAGTTGTTTGCAATCCATTCCTGCCTCTTAAGTGAGAATGGTTTTCAGTGCCCTATATTCCTTCTACTTGAGACTCATTTGCTGTGTATATCATGTACTCCTCTATAGTGTATTGCACAATGTTGTTGAGAAGAAAATCACACACATGTTCCAATCCTGATCATGCAATTTCAGTATCTTTGCTTTAAAGCTAAAGTAACTACTGGCAGTCAAAATTTCAGTGTAAGATATATATTGAATTTAGAAAGATAGCTATTGTCTAAAAAAACCAAAACTGCCCTGGAGAATGACATTTTCCATCTGAAAAGGACTCTGCTGTGGGGAACTAATCTGAATGGCTTCAACTCCCTTGAATAATGAACCATCTATTTAACATGGTTTTGGGTAATTCCCAGTAGGAGAAATTGATGCATTTTACAAAATTGCCTCAGAATTGTGGTTCACAAAATTGCCTCAGACTGGATAACATTAAACAAGAGTCATCTGATGAAGCAAGTGCACAACCTTTGTAGTCTGGAATATTTTCAAACCCTTTACAATACTGCTCTAAAATACTGCCTGCTCTTAAATTCATTTTACCTGAAGAAAACTATGACAGTTATTGTGGGAAGAGAAGAAAAGTATTCCCATTATCAGAAATGGGTGGGTTTTCTTCTTAAAATGCTTTAAAGATCAAATACTTAAAAGATCAAACAATCAGTACTGATACCCAGAGCCTACTGGGATTAGGAAGAATTCATCTTGGATTTTTACCCCTTCAGAGTAGTACACATTGTCATGACCAGAGATGGAATTTTGGGTGCTAGAAGGCTCATTCAGACAGATTCAGTGGGTGAATAATACAAGCAAAATTTGAAATCTATCACTGGTACCTGGGAATACTAGTCTGAAGCTAAAGGAGAAGAGAACTAAATACATTCATCATGATATTTCATATACTCCCAGTGCAACACCTATGTGGTTTGGATCACTGTTTATCATTACATAAGTTTATGGGACTTTACACTGTAAAGAAACAGGTCTCTGCCCCAAGGAAATTACACCTGAAATTCTGATATTGGGAGAGACAAAAATAATGTGGACTTTGTTTTGACTTTGTTGTTTATGCAATTACATGGGCATCTGTAGAATACAGCACACTGTTAACTCCTGCTCTCTGTTTACAACACACTAGAATTTGGGTAATGAGATTTAATCCATACACTGACTGAGGGATTTATATCTGTGTGGACATGAGATGGCATTTATTTGTGCCTACTTTGTGGCTAAAGGATAAAGTAGGAGAATTTTGGGTTCCTGCTAGCTTTTATCATCTTATTACTATTGCGGGGAGGGTGTGTGTTATTATTGCAGTGTGAAGACTGCATGGTTCTATAAATAACCATAGTTTTGTTTTAATACAGTTCATATGGTTAATGCCATATATCTATTCTGTAATAAGTAAATGAAACAGAACATCTCAGTCTCTAGGGCAGTAACTATTCTCCTTTTTACAAATACAAAGAAAAGACGAAAAAGGAACATAATAGTGAGGCCAAGCAACACATCTACATTTCTATTGTAGTGTTAATCTATCAAAAGTTCTTTCCCCTTTCAAATGTATCAATGACTTTATTTGCAGAATGTTGGGCCTACCTTGTCTAGGAAGGAGGGGCGGTCCATGGAAGACTCTTTGGAGATTGGTGGTGGGCGGCAGCCAAGGGGTTTGGTGACCATTCCATTGTAGTCAGCCACTCCCATTCCACGCTTGTCCATTTCCACCTTCTTTTCTAGCAGAGCACCTGCAAATAGTAAAAATGTAAAAGATGTCTTGGAGTCAAGATAAAATGGCTACCCTATTGAAACATCTATCATTCTGCTCCCACTACTGCTTCTATTACATTTCTAAGCTGAAATTTAAACTGCAGTGTGCTTTTAAAGTACTAATTTTGGCAATGAAAATTTATCATCTTTTGATAAAATGCTGTTGAGAAAAGACACTTATTTCATTACAGAAGATTAACCCTCATAAACATCTGTTTCAGTTACAAAAACACTTACTCATGGCCTGATCAAGATTCATATTGTTACTCTTCAAGGCCTCTTCTGCTGGCTCTCTCTGTAGAAATGAGAAGGTTTGTTCATAACTAGTGTAATATGGGCTTTATGACAACTGTAAAAAACTCCCTAAAGCAGTGGTTCTCAACCTTCCTAATGCCGCGACCCTTTAATACAGTTCCTCATGTTGTGGTGACCCCCAACCATAAAATTATTTTTGTTGCTACTTCAAACAGCCCCATTGCCAGAGCGACGCATAGCGTCATGTCCTGGCAACGGCGGGTGCAACACGTTTTGCCGTCCCCGCGGCAGGGATTCTGCTACGATTTGGCGAGACTTGGGAGCCCTATCCTAAGACCATTGAAAATTTGTGTTTTCCTATGGTCTTAGCCGACCCCTGTGAAAGGGTCGTTCGACCCCCAAAGGGGTCGCGACCCACAGGTTGAGAACCGCTGCCCTAAAGGATAAGTTAAATGATTTTTAGTTCTAACTCAAGCACTGTAATTTTGCAAACAAATCAGTCAGAAATGCAAAAAAGAAAGAAAAGGAACCCCCCCACACTAATTTTGAATCAGGTAGAATTTCTAGACACCAAGGTTTGGGAGCATCTTAACCCCATTCTTACAGTGGGATTAACTCTATTCTTTTCTACTCTTGTCAATGTTTATATTTCATAGAATCATAGAGTTGGAAGGGACCTCCAGGTCATCTAGTCCCGCCACACCTGCAGTGACAACTGTTCTGCACCCAAAAGATGACAAAAAACCTCCAGAATCTCCAGCCAAACAGGCCTGGAGAAAAATTGCTTCCTGACCCCAAAGTAGTAATCAGCATTTCCCTGGGTGTGTAAGAAAGGGCCACAAGAACTAAGCACTGAGGCAACTCTTCCCTGCCCTCCCTCTCATGATCTGCATAAGTCCACACAATCAGTATTGCTATCAGATGGCCATCTAGCCTCTGTTTGAAAACCTCCAAAGAAGGAGAGCCTTCCCCCTCCCATGATAGCCTGTTCCACTGAGGAACTGCTCTAACGGTCAGGAACTTCTTCCTAATGCTTAGCTGAAAACTCTTCTGATTTAATTTCAACCCACTGGTTCTGGTCCGACCTTCTGGGGCAACAGAAAAAAACCCCACACCATCCTCTATACGACAGCCCTTCAAGTACTTGAAGATAGTTATCATATCATTTCTCAGTCATCTCCTCTCCAGACTAAACATACCCAGCTCCTTCAACCTTTCCTCATAGGACTTGGTTTCCAGACCCCTCACCATCTCTGTGACCCTCATCTGGACATGGTCCAGCTTGTCTATATCTTTCTTAAACTGTGGTGCCCAAAACTGAACACAATATTCTAGGTGAGGTCTAACAATAATAGGATCCAAACCAAATTTTTCCAATTTGTCAATAAGAATATTATGTGGAACCTTATCGAACGCCTTACTGAAATCAAGATAAACTATGCTTAAACTATGCCTACAGCATTCCCCTGATCCAGCAAGGTAGTGACTTTCTCCAAAAAAGAGATAAAGTTAGTCTGGCATGACTTGTTCTTGAGAAACCCATGCTGGCTCTTAGTAATCACAGCCATCCTTTCTAAATGCTCAAGGACCATCTGTTTGATGATTTGTTCTAAAACTTTCCCAGGTATAGACCTCAAGGGATGGGTCAGTAGTGACCCAGATCCTCCTTTTTCCCCTTCTTGAAGATGGGGACAACATTTGCCCGCCTCCAACCTTCTGGGACCTCCCCTGTTCTCTAAGAATTCTCAAAAATAATGGACAGAGGCTCAGAAATTACATCTGCAAGTTCTTTTAGTACACTTGGATGCAGTTCATCTGGCCCCGAGGACTTAGTTTCATTTAAATAAACTAGGTGTTTATGTACTATCCCTATGCCGATCCTAAGCTGCAACTCCTTTCCCTCATTATGTGTTCTGTTTCTGCCATATTGAGCACCATTTGAGAGGGGACTGTGCTCCAGAGCCTTTGACAGAGAGTTGATATACAGAAATTAGCAGATAAAGCCTTACATGATATGGAAATAAACATAATCACCTGTTACTATCTGTATATCAAACTCCTGGCTCACCAACATGTGGGCAGAGCGGACTTGCATTTATGTGCAGATTCCACCTCTGCCGTGTGGCATCAGGCACGTTCTCTCCCATTCCATCTGGAAAGCGGTAATAGTGATGCACCTTACTATGACAAATATATTTATGTAGGCTAAACGGTTTTGCTTCCATTATCACAAAATGCTATTTATACATTACTGATGAACCAAAGTACTCAACTTTAGATAATTATCTTACATAGCTAGTTTAAGAAAAAGAAGCTTGAGAGAGAGAAGGTTCTCCCTATCTGAATAATCTACAAAAGGGAAGGGGAAAAGACAGGTTATGCAGGAATTTAAATTTTACTCACTGGGAAGCCCATGTCTGTGAGCTGTTTTATCAGACGGTTCATGATCCAGGCCTCATCTTGCTTACTAGATGTCTTCATGCCCTATATAGATTCATTGAAGAGAAAAATAGGAAAAACTATTCAATCTACTACAGTTCATATTTACAGCAGTGAGGCATTAAACCCACAGGAACCCTTACTAATACAGTATGTTACTTTAGGGCAGTGATGGCGAACCTTTTAGAGACCGAGTGCCCAAGCTGCGACCCAAAACCCACTTATTTATCGCAAAGTGCCAACACAGCAATTTAACCTGAATACTGAGGTTTTACTTTAGAAAAAACAACTCATACATTAACTTAACATGACCCAAACAAAGTAAGGAAAGCAATCCCAAATGCTTTCATTTACTTAAAATTATTTGGCAGAGAATTCGACACTTTAATAATGGTCTGGGCCTGGCTGGGGCGATGGCACGTGTGCCCACAGAGAGGGCTTTGAGTGCCACCTCTGGCACCTGTGCCATAGGTTCGCCACCACTGCTTTCGGGTATATTCTCATACACTCTTATAACATTTTTATGTGTCTTAATATTTGGAATATACATGATACATTTCCTTTCCAACAAGAATAAATAAATTTTATACAATTCTCAAATAATAAGGTAGAAAAGATTTACACAGCAAAGAAATAATCCAACTTGCAAACTGAACAGCAGTATCCCAACTGTTAGCAGTAAAACTTAAGGCAAAGATCCCACCAAACCTGTCTGTAATCCAAAAACTGAGCACAGCCCTCCCCCTTTGCTGTTAATGATAGGCGGAGGGGAAACTAGACTAAAAACAGGGTTGCACTTAGCTATAACTCTTGTTCGTCACCGTCTTCTGTGCAAACACACATTGGGACTGCACTTGCGCAGGCCAGCCACAGAAGGTTTCTCTCTAGCTTTAAAAACCTAGAACTGCGGTGGTCCGCCTCAGGAAAATACTGTGCATGAGCCAGTCCCCCCCCCCGCGAACACCCCATGTGATCTGACACAAACCACCCCATTCCCTCAGTTCCCACAATGCCCCATGAGCCACAAGATTCTCCTCACCTTCTTACTTTCTCTACTCTATACATCTACATAAATAAACAACTGAGAGAGACAGACAGAGAGCTCACAGTGGGTAGGAGGGAGGGTATGTGTGTCTGCAGAAAAGACGTTGATGAACAACAGTTACAGGTAAGTGCAACCCTGTTTTCATCATCTATCTTGCTGTGCTTGCAGCCCCACATTGGGACATTAGTGAACTAAATTACCTTAGGTGGTGGGGTGATGCTCTCACTGAAACAGAGAATGTAATACGACTTTCCCCACATCTGCTTCCTTCCATGACTGCAGATCCAGTGCATAATGCTGAACAAAGGTGTCCTCTGACGCCCATGTCACAGCTCTGCAGATGTCCCTGATGGGCACCTGACAATGGAAGGCAGCTGAAGACCTTTGTACACACACACAGAATGAGCCCTGATCTGGAGCGGACATACCATTCCAGACACCTGATAAGAAGTCCAGATCACTGAAACCACCCATCTGGCCAACGACTGAGACAATGCAGCTCTTCCTTTCTTAGATCCCCAGTAGCAAATCGCTTTCAGAGACAACACATGAGCCTCTGCCCATTCCATCACCTGTCTCGCTTCCTGATGTAATGACCTGAAGTACGTGCCTCCCTGCTTGTTTACATAGGCCTTCGCAGTCGTGTTGTCGGTCTGCACGAGAACATGTTGACTGGCCAACTGATTCTGGAAATTGAACAGAACTAACTTTATCGCCCTCAACTCCAAAAAATTTATGCTCCTGACTGACTCTTTTGCCAACCAGGAGCCCTGTGTCATATTCCCAACACTGTGTGCTCCCCACCCAAACAGACTCGCGTCGGTTGTGACCACTGTCCTCAACGGCATCCCCACTAAGAACCGGGCAGACTCCATCCACCACTGCAACTCCAGCTTCACTGAAGCCAGGAGTTCCACCATCTGGACCCTCTTGTGTGCAATCCCTTCCTGATACTGAAGCAGGAATTTTTGAAGGGGACGTGTATGAAACCTGGCGCCAGGGCACAACTTCCTGACAGGAGACCAACATTCCCAACAGACTGGCCAACTCCATCAGTTCTGACGTTCTTGCGCCCAAAACTTGAGCCATCAACTGTCTGATTTTCTGCTGCCTCTTCAGTGAAAGAAACACGTTGTCCTTTGTCGAATGGATCAGCACCCCCAGGTGGGTTAACACCTGAGTTGGTTCCAGAGTGCTCTTCTCCAGGTTTATCATAAACCCATGAGCTCTGGGAACCTTTAATGTCAAGTCCAGATGTTCTTGTTTCTTCTGAAAGGAAGATGCTTTTATCAGAATGTTGTCCAATTAAGGAAACAAAGACACTCCCTTCAGCCTCAGAAAGGCTATGAGAGTCATCACCACTTTGTTGAAGACTCTCGGGGATGATTTTAATCCAAACAGAAGAGCCTTGTATTGAAAATGTCTGCTGTGGTATGCAAAGCGTAGGAACTTCCGATGAGACTCTTGAATTGGGATGTGAAGATAGGCTTCTGACAAGTCGATTGACACCATGAAGTCCCCTGTTTGAATAGACTGTAGAATTGTTCTTAGGGTTTCCATCTTGAATTTCTTTGTCTGTACAAACTGGTTCATCCACTTGAGATCTAGTATCACCCTGACATCCCCATTCGTTTTGGGCACCATGCACCCTACAGAATGTGGCCCTAGATAGGAAACTAAATTGTCTGTAAACCGCTCAGAGACCCTTCGGGGTTAGAGCGGTATATAAACTGTAAGTTAAGTTAAAGTTAAGACAGAGTATACTCTGTGACCGACTGTTGCAACTGATGAGTGAATAGCCTCAGACGGCCTCCTACTCCCCCTATGTTTGGATTCTCAGCATAGTCACGCTGAGAGTCCCTTCTTTGGCCCCTTTTGGTTTTGTCCTTGCTTTCCAGCAAAGGAGTGAGATCTAACCTCTCTAGACCCTAGCCTGCCATCTGCCCTTGAAGGCCCTATTGAAGGATTGTCTGTCCTCACGTTTGAAATGCTGAAAGGACTGAAATTTCTTTTTTGAACGCACCTCCTTCTTCTTTGAGGGTAAGACGATTTTCTTTTCCTTATCCTCTATTAGATATCTATCTAGGCCTGCCCCAAAGAGATTAATTCCCTTGAATGGGACGGCAGCCACCTTTGCTCTTGCTGCTGGATCAGCATCCCAAAGCCTAAGCCAAGTATTACGCCTGGCCATCACGCTACACGCCATCGCTCTGCCGATAACTGGAGGGCGTCCAGAGATGCATCAGCAGCAAAAGCCGTGGCCAAAGCTATTTTCTTTAGCTCACCCTTTAAACTTTTAGGAATTCCGCTGTCTACTGTTGTAAGTTCTGATGCCCAAGCATAGGCTGCTCTAGCGAATAGCGACCCTGTAGCTGATGCCTACAAGGAGCTGGCTGATGCTTCAAAATCTCTGCGAAGCGCCTTCTCCACTCGCTTGTCGCTGTTGTCCTTGGGTAAACCCTCTGCGTCCATGGGAAGAAGAGAGTTAGATGCCAGAGAATTAATCGGGTCATCCACTACAGGGAGCCTAAGCTTTTTTGTAGCCCCCGGTATGAGAGAATAAAACCTAGAAAACATAGATATTAGCTTTGGGATTAGCTGGGTGTTCCCATTCTTCCATAATAACCTTATAAAAGGCTGCAGGCAAAGGTACACCTGCTGTTTTAGACTCTGTCTTTGGAATGGTCTTTTCAGACCCCTCAGGAAATTCTGCCACCTCTGCATCCTCCTTCTCCTTAGGAGTATGCGAGAGTTCTAGAGTTCTCAACACCTTAGTCTATTATACAACTCCTGTGGAAAAAGTCTAGACTGCACCAAGGGAACCGCTTCCTCCTCTTCTTCTGAAAGTTCTCCCTCTTCCAGAGACAGAATTATCAGAAACCTCCAAGTCACTAAAAAGAGGACTAGTGTCCCTCTCCCCAGAAGATTCCTTTCTGGCCTTCTTCCTAGGAGGGGAGACGTCAAGGAGCCTGTAGCTGTTGCTACATCTTTTCTTCTCTAGCTGTTTGGGGCTGGAGGAATCACTCTGATGCCAAACATCTTTAACTTCCTTTTTAATCTCCTCTTTTAGCCAAGTCAGGAGATTCGTTTTGGCTTCCTCCCTAGACATATCCAACCCCAGGGAGTCATTCTTAGAGGAATGTGAAACTGCCAGGTCATCCAAGGAAAGGGAACTTGAGGAACCTGCTTTGTCAGCCATTTTGTCTTCCTCTGCAAAAATGAAAGTAAAAAACCCCATCACTCAGATTACCTAAAATGGCTGACTTTCCTGCCTTTATTCCACTTTCCTCAACCAAGGCTGAGAAAAGAAACTGGAAACTACTTTCAACCCCCACAACCCTCAGTAGAATTTCCCCCTTCTTAGCAAGAAAGGGAAACCCAGTCATAACAGTAAATCTCACAGAGTAAGAGGGTTGCCAAAAGCAAAAGGGGGGGAGGAGAAAGCAAAAAGGGGGTGGGTTTACCCTCCTTCTGACTCTATGAGGCTTTTCCCACCTCAGCCAGGACCCCCATTACCAGTGCCATTCCTACCGTGTTTCAGACAAGGCACTGACCGACCACTGGAGCCGATGTACTTTCCCAAGGCTCCTACTCCTGCAGATGAAAGCACGCAGTTTTTTAGCCGGTTCCTGAGAACTGCGCCGCCAAAACCGCACTGCTCAGGACTTTCCACAGGCTCTGCTGCAGTTCCCTCACCTCTCCAATATCCGGAAGAGGGAAGGAGCCCCTGTATGCGTCCAATTCCGCTTGGGCATGCGGGAGCCGTGTCCGCAGCTGCTGCGACGTCCGAGAGCCTCCCAGACCATCAGCAGCCGCCTGTAAAACCGCAGTTTTTTCTTGCATTCTTCTGTGTGCCACGCGGTTCAGGGAGGAGTAGAAAGGTTTCCCCCGCCACCCGGAAAACTCCAAACACCGTCTTCTGTCTTCACTGTGGAATCTTTGTGCCCACGAGAGCACAGCCGAATGTCCTGCTCTGAAGGCAGGGCCGGTAGAACTGGGAAGCCAAGGACAAGCCCCTCCCCTCTGGGATCAAAGTTTGGCCGGCCCTGCAAGTGGAGAGGGAGGGGCTAAGTCCCATGAGTCATGGAAGGACTGCCCTACTCTCTGGACCACCGGAGAAAAGACTGTACAGGTGCAGCTCACAAAACGAAACAAGGAGTCGGAGCTGGAACAGGGGCTGAGGCCAATGACTGCGAGCTGGCATTCGGTTTCGATGGAACTGAGGACAACACCCTTTCCCATAAGTCCGCCTTCAGACAGGAAGCACAGTCGGCACATGCCTTATGAGTGAATTTTTGGCAAATGCCACATGCTGGTACATTGTGGTTTTCCCCCAAACAGAGTAGCCAGAGCTCATGTTTATCAGAATGTGGCATCTTGATGTTACACTTTGAGCACTTTTTGAACAAAGCCTTGGTCACAATACTCCAGAGACCTTGCGCTAAAGGCGGTAGAGAAACAGGAAAAGAGGTTCTTCCCAAATTGGGATGAGAATAGTTGCAGCTATCTGTCGAAGAAAAAAGGCTAAGACAATGCCCCTCAGAGAACGCGACGAGCAGTACTAGAGAGCATCCACTTCTTGCAGTGGCAAAGAAGGAACTGAAGGAATGGGGGCAGGCTGCCTCTGATTATATGGGGTGTTTGGCAGGGAAACTGGTGCATGTGCAGTGTTTTCCTGAGGTGGACCACCCCAGTTCTGTGGCCAGAAATCTTCTGTGGCCAGTCTGAGCAAGCGCAGTCCCAATGTGGGGCTGCACAGCAAGATGGAAGATGAACTGATCTTTTAAACCTCATATAAATCACCCCATTTTAAAACCAGAAGTAGTAGTCTCACACCTATATATATTATTGTGTTTGGCCTGCACAAGTTACAGTCCAGTAATAGCATCAAACCTTCTGATTTGGCATTCTGTCTTTGTCCTACTCAATCAAGTATCCAGGAATCTACAATAGAGGCCTGGTGGGCTGGGTTTAGGTTGGCCAACCTCCAGGTGGTGAAATATACAGGGACCACGGTCTATAGTAGACCAAAAAGAAATTGAACAAGACCGTGACAATATGATATTATATGCAAGAATTATGTTAGAAAAGTTGTATAAAGATTTTCCACACAATAATCACAACATGTCTGTTCAGATCTCTATACCATATCCAACATGTATTGTCAAAGTCAAAATGAGAAGGTAAATTCATTACATATCATAGAAAACAATTCAGAACGATGCAGCCAAATAAAACTCATAATTGAAAAAATTCCAATTTATATCCACAGAGTGATGATTACTGGTGATAAGATTGGACTGCTCTGGTAATTAGTGATAACTTGACAAGTGTTCTGGTACACACTGTTTCCAAATAGCTTCCTCGGAAATTAAAGGCTTCAGCGTTCAAAAAAGTATCTGGTCTTAAGCCTTTTCTATAAAATCCCATGATTATAAGACAAAGGATCTCCTCCAGTTTTCTTCAAGTTCTGGTGGAAAACTGTAGCTTCTTTACTGCTATCAGAACCACTGCATAGTGCTTCAGATGGGCCCTATACCACATTCATTATTGGATTTGAACGTCTCCAGAGGTCAACCATACCAACAACACTGCTGCAGGGGTTTAGTCACAAGTCAAAACTGCTACTAGTTTTCTGACTGGAAGAAAGTTAGCACATAAAACCCTTCAGTCTGAGACTACTTGTTTCCAGAACACCACAGCGTAACAAATGCAGTCTGCAACTTGACTCACACAATGATGTCTGCAATAGCAGGAGCCCCATTGTTGTCTTGGAGATCTTGAGTTCTATCTGTCAAGATACCCTTGCACAGATGATGAAATACTGCAATACAATCAGGGTTGGGAAGAAGGGGAAATCCAACTTCAAGGCCAACGCCATCTTTTTCAATTCTAAAAGGAAGGCATGGCTGGGTGCACCAAGAGAATCAATCTTGTTTACCTTTGGGTTGCCAATACCCAGCACAAATAACCAAACCAAGTGGTGGAACCTACTGGATTCATCTTGGATTCAGGACTTTGTTCCATAAAATAATTTTATAAAACATAAAAAATCAGCATATGAAACACTTGACTTCCTATCTTAAATAACTGTTTACCATCCTACCTTTTGAAGTCCTTTCTTCGGGGCATTCCCCCAGGAGCTACAAGAGGAATTGCTCTCCTGTGAAGCAGTATTATTCCACATATCTCCTTCTTCATCTTCCCACTGACTTGTACTGAGATTAACTTCATCTCCACCACTGCCCCAGCCTTCTTGCATAGAAGATTTAGAAGCTGAGGGAAAACGGAAGATTTCAGTTTGCCATCCTAGATTTCAGTATGGATACATTTGCAAGCTGCATGATTTTCTGCTATATGAAGAAGGTAAAAGAGCTTATTCCTGAAGGGTTATCAGTTTCATTTTAAAAATTCTATCAATAAATATTAAAGGCAACTTACATAAAGTCATAACAGTAACAGTAAAAAAAAAAAGACATTAATACACAGACATCAATTGAGAACAATATGAACCTGCAGATAATATACACAATTCCCTGGGGAGGAAGTGCCTCCAATAAAGGTCTCAACTGACAGCTAGGTTCATATACACAAATGTAGTTAGTCAGCTATTCTGGTCCTAGGCCATTCAGATTTTTATAGCAATAGAAAAGAGCAAGAGTCCAGTAGCACCTTAAAGGCTAACAACAGTTATGGTACCATATGAGTATCTGAAGAAGTGAGCTCACAAAAGCTCATATGCTGCCACAATTTTTTTTTTAATCTTTAAGGTGCTACTGGACTCTTGCTCTTTTCTACTGCTACAGACAAACTAACACAGCTACGTATCTAGATTTTTATAGGTCTCCCTTTAAATTGCATCCGCAAAGAGTAAGTCAGTGAAAATCTTTGAGCACAGGAGAAATGTGCTCACAGCCTCTATTAACAGCTTACCCACTGTGTTCAGTACCAGATGAAATTTCTGACAGACTTCTGACAGCTGCAGCTGATGTACCAACAAAACTACTTAACAGGGGCTCATCAGCTATGCAAAACCTAATAGGTTTCCTAAGCTGCAAACCTGGTATTTCAGGCAGAGTGTGACCTAGACGTTCACCTGCCTTTGGTCTTCCAAGCTATAAACCATCTCTCCCTTATATATAATTGAATAAGACGCAGCGTCACGCAGTGGAGAGAAAATGCGCACCAACAGTGTTTGGAGGCTTCAGCTGACCGTCAGAAGCTTCCCCAGCTTCCATTGGCTGTGTTGCCTAACTCCCACCTCAGAACACTCCCCCCCCCCTGCCCAACTAGCCAGGGCTGGAGGGAATCAGTGGAAGGCCGGTGCCGGCAGCTCATCACCCCTCGCCGCGGCCAGATTCTCCCCCCGTTTATCGCACGCCTGTTTCCCCCCTCCCCTGCCTGCCCACCCACCCCTGGCTTCAAAGACCCCTCGGAGCCCTAAAGGCTTCCGGGGACAGCAGGTGACAGGCAGCGGCAGCAGCGCTGAGCCAACCCCCCACCCTGTTTTTGCCCCTCCCCCCCTTTGCCAGCTTTCGGGGGCCCCAGGCCAAAGCCGGCGATGGTGAGCCAACCCCCAACAGCCCGTTTTCGCAGCTCCCCCCCACCTTCATCCAGCTTTCAGGGGCAGCAGGCGAGGGGCGGCGGCAGCGCTGAGCCAACCCCCACCGCCCCTTTTCCCCCCTACCCCCCTTCCTCACTCTCTCTTTTTCCCTATCTCCCTTCATTCTTTCCCTCTCTCACTTTCTCCCTTCATCCCCATCGCTTTGACTTCTCCCCGCCCTGTCTGTCTGGCTTACTGACTGTCTGTCTATGTCTCCCCCCTTGACCTTCCTTCCTTCCTTCCTTCCTTCCTTCCTTCCTTCCTTCCTTCCTTCCCCTCTATCTATCCATCTACCTATCTATCTACCACCCCCCCACCCTACCTTTCTAGGGCCCATTGTCTTCATCCACAATGGGCTTTGCTCCCTAGTATATGAATAAGACAATAAAAGAAACAGAAATAAAATTGCCAAGTTTGCCCTCTCCACCCAGCCAAGATAATTCACCTGGTTTGCACAGTGCTGGGGCAGCTGTTGGTGCACTTGCTCTTCCATATGATCCTGCTGACTCAGCAGAGTTATCTCCCCACCCTGTACCACTGCTGGGGGGCTTCCCCCATGCTGAAGTGCCATTATCAACTGCAGCAGACGGGGAGGAAGGCTCTCCCCATGAAGCTTCAGGCTTTGCGTGGACAGCAGGCATCTCCCCCCAGCCTGCTAAAATCAGAAACACCATGGTTACAAACAAACCGTTACAGAATTCACTTACAGCATTAAAAAACACACTATGAGCAACTTGTGAACATGAAGCAATTGATGCAGAAAGGACTTAATTATTCACATAAGACAGACTGATTTGATTTGCTTTTCTAGAAAGAATCTCTTTGGCAGAGTAGGAATTGTATGCCAAAACTATAAATTCCCCACTTGCCTTAAATATTTTAGTTACTTCACAAATTGTTATACCACAGTGATGTTTGTCTTGCTTCATACTAAGAAACAGGGTCTACAGATTATTTTTGATGACCAGGTCCCAAGGATCCCCATGGCCCTCAAACCAGAACTTGAATTACAGTAAGAACCAAAACAAATTAACATATGCATTAATAATAGGTGACATTTATTGCAAAAGAGAATTGAAATGAGGCAAACACTGCATAGAAATCACAGCATTATTCACCCATGTACTGAGACCTGATGTAGTGAAGCTGCTGATAGACTGAGTTACGAATCCGGAAGTCCCCTTGTCTGAATCTTGCCTCTGCCATGAACTCACTAGGTAGTCTCAGGCAAGCTACTCTTGCACAGCCATTCATAAAATACTAATCTACATACTGGGTTGGTTTAATGAAAAGTGCTTTACAAATGCTCTGTGACTATTAAAGGTAAAGGTAAAGGTTCCCTTGCTCGAAAGCCAGTCGAATCCGACTCTAGGGTTGCGGTGCTCATCTCCGTTTCAAAGCCGAAGAGCCAGCGCTGTCCGAAAACGTTTCCGTGGTCATGTGGCCGGCATGACTAAACCCCAAGGCGCACGGAACGCTGTTACCTTCCCACCAAAGTGGTACCTATTTATCTACTTGCAATTTCTTGCTTTCGAACTGCTAGGTTGGCAGGACTACTGTGACTATTACTATTAAGAATTATATTAAGTGCCCTTGAATTTGATGTAGTATAACTGACAATTACTCTAATGCTGGAATGTTGTGTATTTTCCCCATGATAACCTGGATTGCTGGGAGACTAAAAGTAGTAACTGTAAGATATGATATTGGACAAATTTGATATGTAGTAAATACTCCTCTGCAGTCTGAGGAATGGCTTACCTTCTTTGACCATCTGGTTGGAAGTTATTAAATATTTGTCCAATGAGCAGCTCTGGTATGAAACTTGCAATTCATTACGTGTGTATTTTTCACACCTCATAGTTTCTCAGGTCAGTTACCAAGAGGCAAGGCCTGGAAACAGCCACAACAGAGGTTGTATGTTAACTAACAAGAGGAGGGAAAGGCAGGACTGGGCCCTGAGAGCACCTACAGAACAGGCAACGGCAAAGACTGCTGGTATTAGCCTCCTCAAGAGTAAAGGCTGCCTTGAGAGCAGAGACTTCTTTGAGAGTAAACTGAAGTATAGACCAAGAGAGTCAGAAAGTGGATGTGGCAGGAAGGAGGACAATAAAAGACCAGAAAAAGGGAGGGAGGGGGGAGGGATGGCTGGCTGACAAGGGTAGGAAGCCAAGCAGCTGGTAAGGCCTTGGGTATGGAGGTCAGAAGGGACCAAGGAGGCAGCATTCCTCACCAAGAGAGCATCAGGATACTCTTTGGGGTCCTACCTATCTCAAAGTTTAATCTTATGGTAAGGGTGCAGTGGCTAATAGAAGCAATTACAGAATCCTGGGCAGGAACTCAGGCCTAGAAGCAGGACCAGAGCCTTGATGGAGACCGATGATATTCTACATGTTCACATGACAGAACTTTTCAACTACAGAATTCTGTTGAATGACGCACAGAATTCAGCAATTTGTGCTTTCACTGAACACAGCAAACACACATCCTTATGGCTATAAAGACAGATTGAAAACTTGCAAACTTCTAATGAAAACTGAGTAGTGAGCTTAGGAGGACTTCCTGAAATAAATGCTTGGTTTGACATCTCAATTATCCCAATGGAGGAGGAGGAGGAAGAAGAAAGAGGAGGAGTTGGTTTTATATCCCATCCTTCACTACCTGAAGGAATCTCAGAGTGGCTTAAAATCACCTTCCCTTCCTCTCCCCACAACAGACACCCTGTGAGTTTAGGGTTGCTAGCCTCCAGGTCTGGGCAGGGTTTCCCTCACTTCTGGGGCCTTCAATCCACCCCCGACCAGCTGGCCAGTGGAGGAAGCCCCACCCCAAGCCCTGCCCCCAAGAGTGACCAACCCCCTGCCACCCCTCTCCCTATTTTAAGGGCTTTAATTGATTGGAAGAGACCACGTGGACTGCCAATCAGCAGAAGCCCTTTAAATTGGGTAGGAGGGGAGGGAGAGGGGTGGCCAGGTGGGTGGTTGCTCTTGGGGGCATCCTCGCCCACCCCTGGAATGCCCCCCATCCCCCTACCAGAGCAATGAGGGGACCTGCCAACCTCTTTGTGAGGTAGGTGAGGCTGAGAGAGTACTAAGAGAACTGTGACTGACACAAGGTCACCCAGCTGGCTTTATGTGGAGGAGTGAGAAATCAAACCCGGTTCTCCAGATTAGAGTCCACTACTCTTAACCACTACACCAATCTGCTGATGAAGCAGCAGAAGTAATGAAAAAGAAAGAAAAATATGAAAACTATCTGAACGTGCACAATTTATCTACTCAGCCTGATAATTAATATAAATCACCAATTGCCAATTGCCAAGTAGTAACTTTTCACAATGTGCATTAACAACTTGTTGGGCTTATTGTCTGCTGTATGGCAAGGAGAATTATACTTTACATCAGTGGCACAATAAAGTGATCATCTGTATGTACCCTAGAAATCTAGATAATGTGAGCTAGTTTCAGGAGGGTAGTCGTGTTGGTTTGCACTAGAAGACTGAGATTCAAGTCCAATTTCTCCATTGCTGCAGCCCAATACCATTCTCGAATATTTCCTGTTCTCATCTTCCATATAAAACGTATATTTGTGCCATCTCCTTTCCTTCAGTGTTCTGCTAAAAAGGTTTGAAATGTTCTGTATTACATTTCTTATACCTGGGCAGATCAAGATGGGTAGCCACGTTAGTCTATCTGTAGCAGCAGAAAAGAGCAAGAGTCCAGTAGCACCTTAAAGACTAAAGAATTGAGCAGTGACTCACAAAAGCTCATATCCTGCAACAACTTTGTTCATCTTTAAGGTGCTACTGGACATACCCAGAGAGAAAAAGTATCTGTAGAATAATCTGTTTTGACCCACTCTACCTTTGTAAGGGGCTTGTAAACTGACTGGAAGGTGACATCTTAGCAAGCAACTCCATGCATGTCTTCTAGTCATATTATGGATTATTTCAGCCTCCTCAGCCTTGAGGAAGTCGAAAAATTGCTTCTAACTGTATGCCCTACCACGTGCTACCTTGATCCGTGCCCTTCGTGGCTAAATAGAGCCGGCCACAAAGGGTTTCAAGGTGCCTTGTGGGAAATTATCAACAAGTCCCTCGTTGAGGCACTTAAGGAGGCAGTAGTGCACCCTGTCCTGAAAAAGCCATCTCTGGATCCGGCCGAATTGGCCAACTACTGGCCGGTTTCCAAATTGCCCTACCTGGGCAAGATAATAGAGAGGGCATTGGCAATTCAGTTACAGGGTTTTTTGGATGACACTTCCATCTTAGACCCCTTCCAGTCTGGTTTTCGCCCGGGTCACGGGACGGAGATGGCACTGGTTGCCCTCTGGATCGAAGTGGATTGGCAGTGCTGTTATTGTTAGACCTGTCGGCTGCGTTCGACACGGTTGACCATCAATTACTGACCGACCGCCTTGCTGACATTGGAGTCCAGGGGCTAGCCTTGAAGTGGCTTTCTTTCTTTCTCCAAGGCGGGGGACAAAGAGTGGCACTAGGGGATCAGCTGTCCCAAAGGCACCCACTGGAATGTGGAGTGCCTCAAGGGGCAGTGCTGTACCCGATGCTTTTTAACATCTATATGTGTCCTCTTTCCCAGATTGTCCGGAGGTATGGACTGGGTTGTCACCAGTATGCTGATGACACCCAGCTCTATCTGTTGGGTGGTCAGTCTGACTCCTCCAAACCGGAAGACCTAGACCAGGCATTACAAGCTGTGGCTGGTTGGCTTAGGTTGGGCTGACTGAAATTGAATCCGATGAAGACGGAGGTCCTGTGCCTGAGCCAGAGTGGTCTGAGGGTAGGGATCCCACTCCCGACCTTCAATGGGGCACCACTGGTGTCAGTGCCGGAAGTTAGGAGTTTGGGAGTGCTCCTGGATGCCTCCTTAACAATGGAGGCCCAGGTTGCAGCCACTGTCAAGTCGGCCTTTTATCATCTTAGGCTGATTAGGCAGTTGGTTCCCTTCCTCGAACGCAATGACTTGGCGACTGCGATCCACATGATGGTCACCTCAAGACTGGATTACTGTAATGCCCTCTACATGGGGCTACCCTTGTCTCAAATCCGAAAGCTGCAGCTGGTGCAAAATGTCACGGCCAGGCTATTGATGGGACTCCCTATTCGGGAGCACATCCAAGCTGTGCTAAAGCCATTGCACTGGCTGCCTATAGCATACTGGATTCATTTCAAAGTGCTGGTTATTACCTTTAAAGCCCTTTATGGCCAGGGACCTGCATATCTGAAGGACTGCCTTTCCCCATATGTACTCCAGAGAGCACTGCGATCGGGGACCCAGAATCAGCTGGCCCTCCTGAATATCAAGGAGGCCAGGCTAGTGACAACTAGGGCTTTCTCAGTGGCAGCTCCATTCTGGTGGAATGAGCTCCCGGAGGACATCAGGGCCCTGCAGGACCTGTTGCAGCTCCACAGGGCCTGAAAAACGGAGCTTTTCCGCCAGGCCTTTGGAGCTGCCACCACTAATGACATCTGATAGCCTATGATGAGAGAGCCCTGATCCCCTGGATCCTCCAATTACTGCCCGAACTCATCGCCCAGGATAACCCAAGAAGTTCAAGGAACTGAGTGTATGATGAGGGAACTAAGCACTAGCACTTTATTATATTATTATATTTATGGTTTTAAGAACTTTTGTGTAT